GGTGTCAGTGGGGGTATAACTGTGTATTTGGGTGTGGGTGAAGGTGTAGCCGTGGGTCTGGGTGTGGATGGGGGTCAGTGTGGGTGTCAGTATCTCTTCTCTTAACCTCAACCACACCCATATCCACACCCACCCTTTACTAGAAAATAAACAGACACGTAAGATCACAGAGACACTGCACGATTCAAAACAAAGTTAAATTTGATTTAACCAACAAACCATCTTTCTGAAACAATTAAAATTTCAATGTGTCAGTCACATTACTTAACTCAAATTTGATTCATATTGATTCAGTCTATTGTATGTTGGCTCAAATAACTTTCTCGAGCTATTTAATTTCATTTAATATTTATCATGTCTTTTATTCTAATAAACGATTTCCTGAGAGACAAAAACTTTTTCTATGTAACAGCACACTTTGTTGATGTGTTGTGATAATCATTGATTACTCGCGACTTTATTCCTATTTCATTGGTGAGATTGTGAATGTAGATTTGGGTATGGGTGAGGGTGTAGCTGTGGATTTCAATGTGGGTGAGGGTATAGCTGCGGGTTTGAATGCGGGTGAAGGTATGGGTGAGTGTATGACTGTGGATTGGGTGCGGGTGAGGTCATGGGTGAGGGTATAGCTGTGGATCTGAATGTGGGTGTTTGTATGGTTGTGAGTACCTCTTCTCTTAGCTTCTCCCATACCCCACACCCACACTCTCAAGGCATTGTATAATCTATAACAATGAAATAACAAAAACGAAGATATATTGAGCTTGTTTTACTCACATGGATAAACTTTCTTTCTATGTGTATCGTTTTTTCATGAGCATCTACTATCGTGTAAGTATAGCTGTGTATGAGGTAAAAATGTATTATTTACAACTGTATTCAAAACTCTACTTTTAAAACAATCAGTTCAAAATCTAACACAGGAATGTCTCGATGTGAGTATGACTGTTGTTATTGTATCTAATTAATGCCCATGCCCTGGAAAGATGGTTTTACCTCCTATTCTATTCTTAATACTTGCTCGTAAAATATTTCATATAGCTGTGATTTCTCATATTCTAAATATCTAACAAGAAAACAATTCTCACTAAAAATAAAAACTGCATTATTACGATGGATAAACAAAGACACTGTTCTGTAAACAAAACTGTTTAGCTTTGTATCACTCGGAGATTAGAAAATCATCTAACAATGAATGTATCGTACAAATTTACTTCGATCTATTTAAAAGGGTCTAATCTCGTTCAATTACAATAGCGACATCTATATTAAAACGAAATCTCTACGAATACGAAGAGAATACTATGCAGAAATTATTTTTAATTTTCCATTCCGTTAGTTAATTGATGAATTGAAATTAATTACCCAAAAATCGATGATTAAGCGCTATTTATCGTCGATTTTAGAAATCACCTCGATATGGGTATATTTTTCTCGAACGAAAACATAAACATCGTCGCCGACTGGACGAACGAAAAAGAAAAATGTGTTATCATTCGATTTTGTTAAGAGAGAAAAACGAATTTATTTATTATAAATTTTTAGATCAAAGACATGATAAATTCTATTGAGAATTTCACTAATGAAATTTTCTATGACATATTTGATTATCTCGATGGTTGTGATATTCATAGAGCATTTTCAAATCTTAATTATCATTTTTATCAATTTCTTAATTCTTCATTACTTTTATATAAAATAAAATTTAATTTTTTATCTGATGATTTATTTCTAAATAATTATCAACATATGAAATCTATTAATCCACATCAGATTTTTTCACTTAATTTATCATTTGAATTATATATTGACAAATTTCTATCATCATTTAGCATCGATTCATCACTTGATCATCTTCAATCAATTTATCTTCTAAATATTCAACCAAATACACTTTTAATACTTCTAAAGAATTGCATTCATTTACCACGTCTTATTTCATTGAATATTATGTCAGTTCATCAATTAATAGATCTATGTCAAATTTATTTACTAATTTTTACTTTTCCAAAATTAATATATCTTAGAATAATATCTTTTCGATTCAAGGACCCTGCCGTATTACCATTGGCTACTGACAATCAACAATTGAGTATAATTGAACATCTTATTATTGACCATATTGTTACATTCAAGGAACTTGCTGCTATACTTTCTTACACACCTAAAGTTTATCATTTAAAATTTTTTCATGAAGATAGATATAATCGAACAAGTGATATGATTTCATCAATGGAATTATCGAAATTAACACATATCAATGAATACATCATATTTAGACTTTGATGAATTCGAAATATTTTTAAGTAAATTACCTTCTACTCTTAAAAGTTTCAATTTAGTTTATACTGAAAGAGAATTACAATATCTTGATTTTGATGTATGGGAACAATTGATTCTACAAAATTTTCCTCAATTAGAAAAGTTTTACTTCGAGTTTGGTCCATATACATATGATGAAGATGAATTTATCTTTGATGGTTGTGTATGTGATCAATTTATTTCTTCGTTTTGGATAAATCGACAATGGTTTGTTGAAATTGTTATTGAACCTGAGATTATTTCTCTTTTTATGAAACCATACAGGTATGTTGATAAAACTCACAGAAGAAACTATCGACTAATGCGAACTTCTTGATTACAATATTAATTATAACTACTTTTTATGTTATATGATTGTTTCTTCTAGAAAAAAATGGTATGAATATATTAATATTGACAACGATTTAAATGTTAATCATTTAACTCTACTTACTATTCGAGATATTTCTATGGATAAATATACAGAGACATTTAATAAAATCGAATGGATTATAGATGTAGCAACAATTTATCATTTGGAAATTTGTGATGATGTTTTTATTGGTGCTATTGTTGACTTTATGAATCTCTTACTAGTCTTGATTCATTAAAATTATCGTCTATAACATTACCAATTACAACATTATTATCGATTGAAGAACTCGATTGGATTAATCTTGCAGTAGAATATAATAAAATCACAAAAGTTTATCTTGAAGAAATGATTGAATTTGATGATGTTCTTTTTCTTATTGATCTATTTCCGAAAGTAAAATATCTTCAAATTGGTTGTACAAGTGATATCGATATTAACTTATTCGTACAAACTATTTTAATGAAAATTCATAATAAAGTGAATTCTAATCTTCATCTATTAGCCATTTCTATTCCAACAGCAGACGATTCTATGATGGAAAGAATACAAAATTTTATCGATTTGAAAGGTCTTCTTTTTAATTATACAATTAGACGTACAAATGATACTATTTTCATACGGATGAAATCATTTTAACTCATTTTTCTTTTTATTATAAATAAAATCTAAATCTTATCTTTAAAATTGTCATCATTTATGAGATTATTTATTATCATAGATAAAAATCTTGGGGATATAAATGTGATTGTTTATGAGGGTGTGAGTGTCGATATGATATAAGAAGAAGGATATAATCTATCCACACCCTTACTGTCAAAACATATAACTGATTTTAAAAAGCGTTATAGTACAAGAATAAAACTTTAAATATAATAAAATAGAACGCAAATTAATGATCTAACATCAAAAAAAAAGTTGTTAGCGCAATCCCTGGCAGGATTAAAATGTAAAACACGATTTTACTGTGTTTCTACCTTCTGGATGATAGTTCAATTGTCTCATTATGAAGCGGTTGTTACCTCATCCTGCGGCATAAAGGTATCGAAAAATCAGAATGAAATAATTCACCTATGTTGAAGTCACTTGATTAGCATTTTGATAATTTAATTTGATGAAGAATTTATTGATGAATTATGACGACGAATATTTAATATTAATAATATATTAAATATCAATAAAATAATATTCCCATTATTCCAAATAACATCTTTTTTCAAACTTGTTCCCTTTAACTGAACTTATTTAATAAAATGTTTCACTAAAATTGATTGAATGTAATTTAGATAGAACAACATGTGCTAACACATAATATAATACATCATGTTAAATAATTTGGTATAATTAATAAACATACTAATGTTATTATATAAGAATATTTAACAACTATCTGTTCAGATTTTAACGTTATTTTACAATAACTCTAAAAGAACGTTATTTTCAATTTAATTTTTATTTTGAAATAAATCAAAACTTACAATAACAAGACGACAAATTAACTATAATACAATTAAAATGATATTTTAATGAAATATTACAAAATCTATTCAAATTTGTCATTGATCAACAAATGAATTTAGATCATGAATTATGTAAAAATATAATGAATATATTATGATAATAATATTATTGTATCGAAAAATACAACATTTCCATAAATTAAGTTTGTTGAAGTTTCAAAACTTTTTCGAGTATGTGCGTGTGAATCTGGAATTGATTGAAGGTGTCCATTGTTCATTTTTGTATTCACGCCTTGATTCATCCCACATCCACCCGATTGAAGAAATATTACAATTGTCGATGTGATGAAAGAACAAAAGAAAAAGTATCTGATGAGAATGAGAATCTTGAGGGTGGATGTGGGTTTGACTACTAATGATTACCAACATTCACATCCACATCCTCTATTCGAACATTTTCGACCCAACTCCATCACTCCAAGAGCCTCAAAATATTCGTTACGGATCCGGAGTCTGTTGATTCGACCTTGTAAAAAAGGTAGAACTTGAACTATGATGTAGACGAAATGAAAAAAATAATATTAAGATAAGAGTACAACAACATCTTTGATGTTGAAGATAATATTAGTTATCTTCTGTTACTTATGTGAGAGTAATAGACAAACACAAAGTAACTTCGAACAATAGTGTGTTCTTTTTTTTGCTCTTGAGTTTCGTCTGAAACATAATATGCCCAGTAATCAAGTTTACAGAGAGCGTGTTGTTGTAAATAATGGACCACACAAATGGTGGCACCACCGCTGGTTTAAAATAATCGGCATTTCCGGTATTATTTTAATAGTTTTTGCTGTTATCCTTGCTCTGTTGCTAAACTTCGTCGTTTTTGCACCGAACAAATTAGAAACTAGTACCACTCCCGCAACATCATTGTCATCACTAACAACAACAATATCAACACCACCATTATCATCAACAACAACATCACAAGTGACGCTAACCACGACTCCACCACAAACAACAGTTACGACCACAACTCAGCAGTCAGGTAAGCTTCAGAGTAACGTTTTCCCGTCTCACTGAATGGTAATTTTAAATCAAATATAAGTGGTTGCTTTGCATACAATAGTTTTCTGTATCTAATTAAAAGTTATATTAAAAGTACAGCGATGTTGTCATGAATGGTTCAATCGTTATCTTGAAACGAAATGAAGACGAATTAATTCCCACATGCGCTAGTTTTCATCACGAACAAAGCTCACGTGGTTTTGTTGACGTCGATGCAACAAAATCTAGTTTTTCTCTTCGTTTGATATCACGACATATCCTATTTTTAAGTATCCAGAGAACAGGAAAAAATCATTTTGCCACAAAGGGCGTACGTATATCTGTCACTCATGGTATTTTCGCGCATGGAAATACCAGCCAATTCTCTTGCTCTCTCTTTCGTGTATAAATATAAATAGCTGTATTTACGTATTATTTATTAGTTCATTCGTCAACTTTGATTCATTCTTCTGCTCCCTGCATAAGTCAGAGTTCAGGTTTCGAACACGATAAGGTATGGTCTATATTCTTTGGTCATGATAAATCACCGTATTTCTTAATCTGGAATGGTGCTGTAAATGCAACCGTATCTAGACACCGTTTCGAACTGCGAAAGTTCGTAGGAAACGATCCGGAAAAAGCAATAAGGATCGCTTGTCCTTTACCTAGGAAGTTTCATTAAGTGACTATCATCAATAGAAGCTGTATATAATAAAAAAAGTGCATTAATTCTTAGAAACATTGTAACAGCAAGTGTAAAATCCAAACTTGTTTCATATGTCATCCTCGCATACGATTCTTTGTCAAAAATACGAAACTTACTTTCGTACCGTATCAAGAATGATTTTTTACAACAAATTTGAGACTTCTTGTATTCTCAAAAATGTTCGAAAAACTTTGTATCAAAAGTAAGAAACGGTTTGTATTTTACAAAGTCTAAAACTTTCCGCACATGATTTCATCATTTTGAGAATGAATACAATCCAATGTTTCTGTCTAGAATGGTCTGTTACCAGTAATATGAGTGATGCACGACAAGAACACACAGCATCTGTATTATCAAATGGAAAAGTATTAGTCACAGGTGGATTCAATCACAATATTGGTTTTTTGAATAGTGCTGAACTGTATGATCCATCAACAAGCACTTGGACAACTACTGGCAGTATGATTGATGCGCGAGAGCATCACACAGCATCTGTATTATTAAATGGAAAAGTATTAATTACTGGTGGAGTCAATGATAATGGTCGTTTAAAAAGTGCTGAATTGTATGATCCATCAACAGGCATTTGGACAACTACTGGTAGCATGACTAATGCACGAGATTTGCATACAGCATCTGTATTAACAAATGGGTTAGTATTAGTTACTGGTGGTGTAAGCATTGGCAATATTTTTTTATATAGTGCTGAACTGTATGATCCATCAGCAGGTACTTGGACAACTACTGGCAATATGAGTGATGCACGACGAGAACATACAGCATCTGTATTAACAAATGGGAACGTATTAGTTACTGGTGGAGACAATAATAATATTGCTTATAACAGTGCCGAGCTGTATGATCCATCAACAGGTAACTGGGCATCTACTGGTAACATGACTAATGCACGAGCTTATCACACAGCATCTGAATTATCAAATGGACTAGTGTTAGTTACTGGTGGAGCTCACAATGGTGCTATTATTAGTGCTGAGTTGTATGATCCATCAACAAGTACTTGGGCAAATACTGGTAACATGACCAATGCACGCGGTCAGCACACAGCATCTGTATTATCAAATGGACTAGTATTAGTTACTGGTGGATACAATGGTAGAATTGCTTTAAATAGTGCAGAATTATATTCATTATTCAGAACAAATTAACTTTCAATTGTCTTATTCTTTGCTTGCAAGTACGTTAAATTCCAGACAATACTTTAGTTAGAATAACTGGCGTCTTATGATGTCCATGAATTGTTTCTTCGATACCTTTACTGAGTTGTCTCATACTTTAATATTCGATTCCAAATAAAAATAAATATTTATGTTTTTCTACCCTTATATATTATTTTATTATAATTAACAACCCTAAAAGATAATCTAAGGAACAATCTATAGTTATATCAGATATAAGATGTAATGAGAATGAGGATATGAATATTGTTCAGTTAAAAAAAATACTGGCATCCACCTTTCCTTATTTTAACGAAAGAGAATAGACAATAATTTGATTTATACATAATATTTCTTTCTGATCGGTAATTATCTTCTTGCGAGTCTTAAATTAATTGATTAGTGTAGAATATCTAGTGAGAAGTTCTGTTGAAATATCAAGACAAAACTATACATACAGCTACTTTTTCTTCGTCATATTGATTTATTCTACAAAGTATGAAATTATTCAACTTTGACTTTAGATCATAATCCAGATCTTTCAGTTATAATATCTTATGGATTCGTATTTATGTTAGCAGAGATATTTTTCGTATATTATTGTTTGTGAATAGTTCATCTCATTTCATTATCAAGTAGTTTAGAGAAAGAAATAATAAGTTTGTAGTAGATTTAATAAGATATTTGTTTTATTTGTAATATAACTGAGTGTTATTATATTCTACTATAGTATCATTTTCACAAATATGTAATGAATCTTATGTCATTTATAGTTTTATTATTAACATACAACCTTTCACAATAAGTATATGCGATTGTTAGTCTATTCCATTCAAATAGCTGTCGATGTGTATGGTACAAAATCTCTGAGGAAGCGTTGCGAACGACATTTAGATCTAGACGAAAAGATTTCTTAAACTCAGCTACATATAGTCACCAAACGCTTGATTCTTGTGATTTTTGGTAAAGTATCTGTTGTTAATGTTAAAATAATCGAAGATATTCATCACTACCGATATGAACACCTGTGAAATCAATACACAATGGCTAAGATAGTAATATTTTGTCTGTTAAGAATATTTGATTGATTAAAAATCATAATTCATTCAAAGAGAAAAAGAAATTCAATTTCATTAATAACTACAAGTACAAAACAGTAAACTTCATATGAAACAACTATTTTAGATATATATTTAAATATGTACATTTGTATATTGACCTTTATAATTAAGTATCAATACTAGTCGTGGTTCAATATCACCTACTGAACAATCAACATCTACAAAATATATACATATACATATACCTTATACTTCCATTCTAGTCTCAGCTTACATGTGATCTTATCATTTAGAAAAATATTTTATTCACTATCATCAAATAATCCTAACTTACTTCATGTCCTTCTCGATAATTAAAGTTGCCATCATATACACGTAAAAATCTTAGTCCTAAATCAAACATTGTTATTGTTTCTCTTCGTTTAATAATATCAACGATTTTTTCAAATGTTTTTTTCTATAGAAAACAAAATCAAATAAAAATTTTACTATTTTTTTCTTTTCAATTCTTATACTTTCGTTGAACATGTAAAAGGATTGATTCGATAACAAGACGTCGATGAACAGGTGCTGCTGCTGGTGGAATAAATCCATAAAATTTCAATAGCTATTATGTAAAAGAAAACAAATATATATATATAGAACTTACGAAGCATATCGAACACTACATGCACTATTTTGTCGACTTTGACGTGGTGCAACTGGTGGTGCAGCTAAACTATTTAATTTTGAACGTGAACCATAATCAACAACATCTTCTGGAATACGTTCTTCTTTTGCAATAGATGGTAATGTTAGTTTATTTTGATTTGAAAGTTGTTCTAAATCTAAAAATAAAAGAATTATTTTGTTTTGTTTCTTTCTTTGAATTTTATCAAACCAGAAAATTGTTGATCTAATGGTTTAATTCTAGTTACAAGTTGTTCATTATACTCTGAAACTCGAATACGATTATATACAAGATTTGAATATTCTACAGGAAATCTTTGCCAACATCCAATTGTAATATCATAACGATAAATACAATTATAACCAATAACATTTCCTTGTTTATCTTCTCGATTTTCTCCGATAATTACCGTTCTTTGTTCAGAATTTTCTTGAGGTTTATCATATACAAAATAAGTGAATCCGTTTTGTTGCTTGATTGTTAATCCTTCCATCGTTCGATTGAAAAACGGAAAAATGGAATGCATCATTGTCGACAATGAAAATATACATTTGATAAGTGAATATGGAAGAAGAAAAAACACAGCTCTGTGTCATTTGTTTAATAGTCATCTAGTATCGATCGTTAAATACCGATTATCTAAAGTAACAATAATAATACTGAAATATGAAATTTTTGATTGAAAACCATAATCATATTTTCAATAAATATTTAACTTTTAGTTTCATAGCTGAATTAGAATGTATCTATTTGTTGAAAGTTGACAATGCTCATTGATGTCGAATATGAAATTTGTTTTTTTTATATTGAAGAGAATATTTTTTGAAGAGCGAAACCAAATAATTAATAAGTAGTGCCACTCACATCAACTTTGGTGTATTTATGTGTGAGTTCTATCACACTTCTACGGATGTAATATTATAGTTGATATAGAATCGATTTATTTTTTGTTTTGGATGTATCAAAATATTTCACAAAATCTCTTATAGAAGTAAAAAAAAACATTACATGTCGTAGCATTTTATCCGTTAAAACTCTCCTGTCTAATTGTTAATCAACAGTAGTATATTTATTCAACAAATACGAACAATGCGCGAGTTTGTAGCTAATTAAAGGAAAATTTGATATTGAAATTAAGATTTAACTTTATTTAGTCATTATAATCTTTTTGTTATTCTCTTTTCTGAAAGAAAGAATTACACAGCGTTCAAATTCTTGGCTTAGAATCAATGATTTGGAACGTTTGTTAGCTGAAGCTGATAAGGAGAAAGCATAAGCTATGAGAGGAATAGCGCTGTGTGAGGGAGTAAATAAAACATTCTCACCCTCACCGACACCCTCAAGATAGCTTCATTAACTTTTTTATGCAGATATATTATACCATCGGATGAAATCTTTTAAAAGATCAAAACATTTCTTGAGTGTCAGTTCGACAGACTCAAGTTGAAGTTTCGCAGAACATATAATCAATTCTTTCGTTTTTCATATCTCAGCACTTCTGCTCGATTTTACTACACAAAATAAAACAATATGAAAAGCACACAACAGACAGACCGACAAGAAGAAATGTGAATAACGTTACAAAGAATATAGTTTGTGTAAAGTTGACATAGCTTCTTCTAATCCTTATTACTTAGTCTAATAGACACATTAACTATGGCACAACATTTCTTCATGAGTCTCCATTATCTCTAATTGATAGAAACTTAAAAGAGTACTGCATTCTGTGTTTGCACCATTCGTTATCATTCATGGCGAGCTATAAGTAAGTATCGAATGTCTTTTTCCAAACATGATTTTCAATTACAACAGTACATCGATTGATTTATCACAAGAAGCAAACAAATAAATAATGTCTTTTGCATTTATTATAATAATCATGTCATCGAAACTGAACGGGCTGATTACGCAGGAGTACGCCTTCGAATACGATTGAACAATTGTTTAAACGCTTTCATATACAATTCTGAAGGAAAGACAAAGATAAGAAAAATTAGCATTGGAGGAGTAAACGAAATGAAATATGGTCCAAGATACAACCACAAGTTCTCAGATGTTTTCACACAACCAGGAAGTAATGAAATGATGAGACGAGGTATTGATAAAGCGAGTAAAACTATTGGACTAATGATCAATTGTTTATGTTCACGGAATTGTTCTTGAACATGTTCTTTCAGACTTTGGTTAGTTCGTGCCATTGATCGTTGTCGAGCACCTCCAAAGATGATGAACAATGCAGAGCAAAGATTAACAATAAATGGACCAACAAGATGAAAAAATAGAACGGCTGTATTGTAATCTTGGATAGAAGGAGAATAATGAGTGATGCATGATACATATCGCTTGATTGTGTCTTCATTAGTCCTACTCGTATCTGTCGTATCGGGTACTGGTTCATATTCGAACAATCTGCGAAATGCGAGCTCGTGAGTAAGTGTACCAACAATACAGACTGGTAAAATAAGAATTATCCGTCGAGCAATAGATTTGCTCTTTTTTTTATCAAATTTTACTCCTTTAAAAATAAGTACTGCTCGTTCAACTGCTACACAAGCATTGAGCCAACCATCCAAGTAGAGAAAAAGTTTTAGAATTGGTTCAATAGAAGCACAACCTGCACGAAGAATAGACAGACTGGTGGACGCATTGATATGAGTAAGAACAACAAACCAGAATTTAATTATAAATGTACTAATTGCCAAAAGAGAAGTAATCGATGATGCTAATAGATACATTCCACATCCAACTTGCTGAGAATCTTTACTTTGAAATGTAGTAAAAGAGAGAACACTATTGATTAATCCTGCAATAAACATAATTATTGTTAAACCCGCACTACATTTAATCGAAAATGATTGATTCTTCAACAATGTATTCGGTTGAAGTTCATCGCGTAAAATATCATCGAGTGTCAAACCAATCCCTTTGATATAAAAGTTACATTGATCACCAATCACACAACTACTTTGTTCTGGACCTAAAATATTGAATATATTTTGAAAAGAGAATAACGAAGATTTCGAGTCCTCGAAAACTCCACATCCATAAAGATTTAAAAGGATGTAAGTAACAACATTCCAAATATGAAAAAGCTGTCTAGAATTCATGCTAATCAAGTGTCTTTTCTGGGAGATCAATAGACCCAAAGATTCTGAAACCTATTTAATTCAATAATTCGATAGATTTTACTTCAAAACCTAAAATAAGAATTGCTCACTAATTAAATAAGTCCAAGAAACCTTCTTTTCACATGTTTTATGCCATTATATATTGATTATCGAAAAAATTATATAAATACTTACTGAAAGGAGTAAGACTGATATTGTTTGGCCCAGAGATAAAAACAGAAAAGTTTCCAATTGTCTTAGGATTGAGTGTTGTCACAACTAATATGTATCGAGTGTTGATCTCGAGATCGATGATTAATTTGAATTGTCTATTATTACATTTACCGTCATGTGATTGAAGTAAATTTTCAGATGGTTTTAAAGGATTGAAATCATTTTTGTAGATATATCCATATGCATTAATATTACTTTCACTCCAAAGAACATACAAACCCGTTGTATTAACATGAATTTCTAAAGTTTCATAATGACATTGCGGTACTTGACAATCTCGATAATATGTTGGACTGTCATCAGTTAATTTTATTGAATATATTAATTGAATATATACTGGAGTACCTGTTCAATAAAAAATGTCAAATAATTCTTAGAATTTCGATACTAATACAAATTTCTGTTTTCACATTCCATTGAAAAAATATTTATCGACTGATTAAAAAACAGAAATAGTTCAACAGCGATTCGTACATGAAACGATTATCTAATATCGACAAAAGCGAAATCTTTTAGGTTTTCTACGAAGATTTAATTTTACAAATAGAGATTAGTAAATGTATCAAACTCACATTCTCCAAGTGTGCATTCTGAAATCAGTTTGTTACAGAAATCTTAAAGTGCTGAGCTACAGCAAGATACTCTTTGGATTTTCAGCATTTGACTATGAAATATTTCCAAACATCTCACTGACTATTCTTTTTAGTACATTTTTTATTTGGTATTTGTAGAAACTGAAAAATATTTATCAACTAAGGCAGCGGTAGAGAAATACACGAGTATACATCCTGTTGGAAAATGTCTTAATATCAGATAGTATAAATTTAGTATTCTCTTGGCATAGAATAAAAGATGGAATTAGATTTAGAAGATATATTATATATTTTATACAAATTATTTAATATATAACATACATATCTGTATACTTACTAAGACGCTTGAGAATAACTTTGTTTTTAACCAACACACCGATCGAAAATTCTCCAGTCTCTTTTGATTCATATGTTGTCACAACCAATACATATATCATGTCAATATCAAGATGAATATTAAGTTTAAACTGAACATCAGAGCTACTGTCAAACTCTTTATCGAGCAAATTCTCTGATGGATCTAGCGGATTAAATTTGGTTTTGTATATAGATCCATATGGATCAATGTCACCACTACCACGAAAAGTGTAGTAACCACTTTCGCTCACCTTCACTTGAATAGATTCATAATAAAAATTTTGTTTGTCACAATCTCGATAATAAATTTGATTATTGCTAGTCAATGATGATGAATAGATGGTTTGGGGAACCAAGAAAGTATTATCTAAATGAGCAATAAAGTAAACCGAAGTTTATCGTGAGTACACAGAAATGTAAGTCGTTTTGTATTGGTATTTTTAATCTCTTTAAATATACGCCTCTAGTGTATTCAACTGACAATCTGTGTTTAAAAGGATGAAAAACTATTTTTCAACCACAGAGCATTTTAAATGATTTGAATTTACTCTGTAATATTATTTGTTTTTTGACATTTTGAAAAGATAAAACACGATGTAGATCGAACACTATCGAAGAGAATCTAACCAAATTCTTTGATCAACATGCATAACATAAAGTTTAATTTTACATGAAACTTCAAAACTTGAGATAAAATCTGACCGATGAAAAGTGAGAGAGAGAAACTTCTAAATCATTAGATTTAACTGAAGATATTTTTCCCAACCAATCAATCAAATAAAACATAATATTGTTGACGTAGATCAGATAGTTTCTAAATAACATCTAAGAAATGCAATGTTTCGTTCTTTTAATAACAATTAAAATCTTTGATGATTTTTATGATCTGATAGTTATTATTCACAACTTGAGACTAAGAATTGTTATGGCATGATAAATCTCTTGCCATAAAGAATGGTGTTTCTCTTTCATGTTCTCACGTACTACTGATATGGTTGAGTATTTAAGGAGTGAATATTGCGAAGAGAAGGATGATTCTTGTTTTATGAAAGAAGAGAAATAAAGAACAAACTAGGAGCGATAACAAGAATATTTAAAAGAAGAATACCTATAGTCAATTAAGATTTTTTATCTTAAATAAATTTACTTAATTTACATTGAAATTCTTAAACTAATCAATTATTTCATATACACAATTTTATTTTATTTTTTATCATAGAAGTTTCATTTACAGTTTTTTCTTTTGCTTTCAACTTCAGTCTCTCCTAACAAAACCTATACAGCATTTCATTATCAATATGCACATCTCACCATTTCATTCGATTATACTTCAACTTACCACAATATCTGTTTAAATATTTAAATTTTTGAATACGATGATTTAATGTATCAGCCACAAACATGTTTCCAGAACGATCAAAACTCAAACTAAATGGACCATTCAATTGATTGGATTGTGAACCCACTCCATAACATCCAACTAAACATCGAAAACCATTCAAGCCTGAACCAACAATCCGATGATTGTTCTGATCCACAATGAATAAATATTTCTCAGCATCTAATATAATTCCACTTGGACAATCAAGTGTAATTGTTGGATTTAGTGATTTACTTCCAGCCACTGTAATTGCTTTTAATTCTCCCGGCTGAAATAACTGAACTCGATCATTGTAATGATCTGCCACATATAAATCCAAATTTATATCGACAAAAATTCCAAGAGGATTAAAAAGTTTCTTCGAGTCTGATCCTGGTTCACCAGTTCCAGCAGCAACACGATTTGGTTTTTTTGCAGGACTATTTAATGACCTTTTCACTACTTGATGATGCTCAAACATTGAACAGTACGTAGTATCATTGATATCCACAAACAAACCATCACATGGGAAGCTGACATTCATTACTGTAACAAAAATATTTGTTTCTGCACTCCATCTATGCACTCCACCATTCCAAATACCATCACCAATATAAATGTCGCCATTTGATGTCACGAAGAGAGAATAGGGTTGTGTAAAATTACCGTGAATGATCTTCGTTGGATTGATACTCTTTTCTTCCCACATTACAATTGTGTTATTTTGTTGATTAGCGACATAAAATGTGTTGTTTGTGTTCACAAAAATGCCGGTAGGAATTTCACCAACAATCGATTGATTAGCAATAGTAATTGCAGTGGGATTCCAAACAGCAGTTGGACAAAACTCTGGTTGATTGAATGAAAGAGCTAAAACGAGAAAAATATAAAGAACATTAAAGAAGAACTTTAAACGAAATGAAATTGTTAATTTATATATTTGTAGAAAAGAAATTTGTGATAAAAAAGACATTTAGAAATGTTTGTTAAAATTGATTTTAGGAATGATTTTTATTAGTTTTCATATAAAAAATGAATTGCAATATTGTTAAAATATTTTTGTCCAAAATCAGCTCAATAGAGTTTATTTATTTTATAAAATAAACAATTTTTTTCTTTTATAGAAAATATTCTTTGTTTACAATTACAGAAATAATAACATATGATATCTCTCATTAACAATGACATATATCACATTATAGATTGCCTTCAACTATTCAATATTACTCTCTACAAATAAATATTAGGATAACTATCCAAAGAACAAAGCATTAATCAATCATTTCTTTATGAAAACATTCATTTTTTACAATATTTCATATTGAAATTTATCTCTCTCAAAGAGAGACAATGACTAAATTCATTTTGTACAAAAAAAAGAAAAATTAGTTGTTAGAATTGTTACATTTTATTTGTCCTATTTTTCTTGAATCAGTCATCGAAACACGAAGTCATATCATAGAATAATTTATATTAAAACTATAGCGGCAAAGTTATGAACAGATTTTATTTCGATAAAAACTGTTTCATTGATGAGATATGAAAGCCTTTCTACCGCTTCATTAAGGACACAACTGTTTCTTTCTCTATTCTTTAATGTCAAGAAAAAGGTGAAGATTGTTTGCCTTAGAGGATTGACACATGGCTCTATCTAATTTGACCATTTGATCTCCTTAGACATATTCTTTTACACATATTTGTTTAATTAATCTTTCTCAAATATTTTTGTTTTCTGTCGTTTTTTATATCGAAATGTCTTTATTAACGTCTGTTACTTATCTATTCACATCTTTTCATTTCATTCAACTTTTCTTCAACTTACCAAAAGAATCTTTCATTAGTAAAAATTTTTGAATTCGAGAATTCCATTCATCAGTAACAAATATGTTTCCAGAACGATCAAAACTCAAACTAAATGGATCATTCAATTGATTAGATCGTGAACCCTTTCCGTAACATCCAAATAAACATCGAAAACCATTCACACCTGAACGAACAATTCGATGATTATTCGTATCTGCAATAAATAAATATTTCTCAACATCTAATACAATTCCACTTGGACCATAAAGTGTAATTGTTGGATTTAGTGATCCACTTCCAGCCACTGTAATGCCATTTGATCCTCCCGACTGAAACAATTGAACTCGATGATTTCCCCAATCTGCCACATATAAATCCAAATTAACATCGACAAAGATTCCATGAGGACGGCTGAGTCGATCCAAGGTCCATCCTACAATACCTATTCCAGCAGCAACACGATTTGAAGTCATCAGAGGATCATTTAATGATCTTTTCACTACTTGACTACGATATTCCATTGAACAGTAAAGAGTATCATTTATATCGACAAACAAACCGTAACACGATGAGTTGACGTTCATCACAGTGACAAAGGTACTTGTTTCTGCTATCCATTTCAGCACTCGACCATTCTCCTTGCCATCATCAATATAAATATCACCATTTGGTGTCACGAAAAGAGAAGAAGAATCTGTAAAATTGCCGGAAATGATCTTTGTTGGACTGACACTGTCTTCATGCCATATTATAATTGTGCTGTCTTCTCGATTAGCGACATAGATTGCATTGTTTGTGCTCACAAAAATGCTGGTGGGGCGATAACCAACAATCGATTCATCAGCAAAAGTAATTGCATTGGAATTCCAAATGGATGTTGAAGAAAACTTCGGTTGATTGAATGAAAGAGCTAAAATGAGAAAAATAGAAAGAATATTGGAGAAGAGCTGTAAAAGAAATGAACTCGTTAATTTATGTTCCTTCTTGGAAAATTCATTGAGATTAATTTTGAAAAGATATCTATGATTGTTCTTGTATTTTCTCGAATGATTTGTAAATATGAACTAAGAAACGGCTGAGTTCATAGAATAAGATCAACCTTATTTATTGTTTTTTTGTTGTGAAGGATTAAGAAATATGTTCGATCTTCGAAAAGATATAATTATCAATGAAGACAAAAAAATAATCAAATTATTTTTTTATTTTTTCAACAAAAATGAATTCTTTGGAGGAAAAAAGAATTGTTTAGAATGAAAATGAGTTTACTGAAATAGATTGATATCTAAACAAAATTTCTTTGAAATTCAAAATCAATTCTCATTTTCATATGAAAAACATTGTAAATTTATTTATGCTAAATAAAGGGTAAGCCAAAAGTCTTGGTAGGATGTGGTGTGGGTGTCAGTACGAGTGAAAAGGATAGTACCCGCATTCACCACACTAATGTTCTTACCTACACCCACCCACACCCGAGCCCTGATCGAGTACGAAATCTGATTCACTTCGAACCCTAATCGAGCCTGAATCTTGACTGAGCTCGAGCCTGAGAATCTCGGTCAGAACTTGAGTTCGATACATTCCTAGATAGTATAGACTTTGAAAATAATTTTAGATACAAAATCAAAAGCTTCACGATGGTTTTTACTATGAAACAATATACCATGTCTAGAAACACTCGATCAATTTATTTGTTTTTTTAAATGAGTAATTCAAAGATTTTTCCAATGTGAGACACCTATAACTCATATTTCATCATTGATAGTTATGGCAACACTATAATTTCGACATAGTTTAACAATAAAATGAATCGCTGTAGAGAGATACATTCTCTAAATGAGTTAGGTTGGAGTTTAGAAGAGATCAGTACCATCACTTTTGAATATATAATAGAAATTCCTGTCACATTCTATAATCTATTATTTGACTCTCTTTTTTTAAACTTAAACTCTAATGAATAATCTCATTTTTGTTCAATAACTGATCTTGGATATGTGATAAATAAAAATATTTACCTGATATTTCTTTGTTGAGAATGAACTGAAGAATAATGATAAATACGTAGATATTCAACATCATTCAACTAGAGTTTTTTTCTAATAATTTAGTTAATTAATAAAATAATCTTTTTTTTCTTCTTTTTCTTCGATGAAAACAAAATGACACTCGTTGTAGATTTTCTCTCTAGTTATATATCTTTCTCTTTTTCTCTCATTCATTTCTTCCAAAATAACACACAAAGAGAAAAAATAGTGTTCTAGAGAAAGTTTTGTTCATCATAAATAAGATAAAAAAATTAATATTAGATTTGAGTAATGGAAAAAATTCATGATTTTATTTTATATTTTTCATTGAGTTTATTCTTTTCGAAATTTGAAAACACAGAATGGAATTTAAATTCGACATGATCTTTTTCTCTTTTTTTTAGTTTTATACAAAAATCTACGATTTTAGTGAAGAAGAACGGGATGAAGAGAATGAAGAATCAATCAATATCGATGTCAATCATCAGACGTGTTTTTAATAAAAATACGATATTAAAAATCATTGTCAATAAATAAATCATGATCAGTTTGATATATTTTTATTTGAACATGTCAAATAATTTGCTTTGTCAGGACTCTATTTTAATAACGTTTTTTGTTTCTCTATACGCAATAAGTATCTACGAGAAAGGATTCCTTCTTTGAGTTTTTCCATCTGTTTTAGAATTAAAACGGGTCGCGCCCACTTTGCCGACAGACTGTTTTGCCGACAAAGACACTTTGCCGACAAGTTATTTTTTGCCGACAACTTGTTTGAGGGTGTAAGTGTGGGTGTGGCGGTAGAGTGATTGAGGGTGTGTGAGTGTGGGTGTAGGGCAGGAGGTGGGGCGGTGTGTGAATATGGATGTGGGGAAGTGGATGAGTATGGGTTTTGGGAGGTGAGTGTGGGTGCCCGTTCGGGTGTTCTCAGTTTATCGACGCCTACGCATAGAACCAAATCCAACAAATTATGGTAGTCAAACGCGCTGTCGGCAAAAAAAGAACTTGTCGGCAAAGTGTCTTTGTCGGCAAAGTGGCGTCGGCAAAGTGGCGTCGGTAAAGTGGGCTGTCGGCAAAATGGGTGTCGGCAAAGTGTACGAGATCCATGAATTCAACTCGAAGTTCAATATACGCAAAAGTAAAACTCTGAAAATGATGGATGGATCTTATCAATTAACACGAAAAGTTCTGTTCAAACATGATGAAAGTCGCAATACGCAGATCAGTCTTCTGATATTCGATACAATCTATCAGCGACGAGTTTTCAAACACGATGGATATCTTTGATTCAAATTGATTTTTCAACCAGAGATGAGAATCGTTCTTTACTATCGTACATTTGTTTTCCTAGATAAACAATACTTAGAGCAATATTTTCTATTATAGCTAAAAGGCGAACATATCTTCGACATGAAAACTATATAAAGGTTGAGGAAGATACGATGCTAAAACAAAATTTATGTTTCTTTCGAATCTCTTGAACACTTTTCAAATTATTCTTTGCTGTTTTCTTAAGAATTGATAGTTATTAAATTGAATTAGTCAATCCTTATTTCTTAAAAATCTAATAATAACAAATAGAGCTGCACATGTAAAGAAAAATTGATTTCTAATCGATGTTAGCCTCCTAAATATTTGATCTGAAATAAAGTTCAATATATTCGATAATTTCGTTTAGTAGAATTATTAAATACATATGATTATGGTAAAAGATTGCGTAGGAGCTTTATTTGGTTCACAATTTCCTGAAAAGTTTACTAATTAATTAGTAATCAGAAGTTATGTTGCAAAAATCAGCAGTTAGCATGATTTATTAAAAAACAATTCTTTGATTATAATCGCAGTAAAATTTGATTTAGCCGCCAATTTATTTTCGAAAAATGATTAAACGAGATTTTTTTATCGAGAAAAATGACGAAAGTATCTATTAAATGTCATCGTTTTTTTTCTGAACAATTAATTAAAATTTTACAATTTACATCGAATGTTCATACATTGAAACCTGATTCAATAATACTTTCTCGAAATAATTCAAGGTTCATGTCAAGAATGTCATTTAGGATATGTCCGCAAACGAAATGTCCTTTTGTTTTTCATCCTTACATATACATTTATGTGGAAGAACGAAAAACAAAAGGACATTACGTCCGAGGACATTTTCTAAAGGACATTCTTGACGGATACCGAAAATTTAAAACAAAGAGATTTCCAATATGAACTGCAGCTGATTCAATAAGACTCTCGATTTGTATTAACTCAGTCAAAACATTGAGGGTGTGGGTGTGGGTGTTATATTCATTCCATACTCACACCCACACCTCCAAGATTTCTTTCCTTTTAACAAGATTTTCCGCGTGTTATTTGTTTATAGATAAGACAACATAACAATTTCATCACCACTATGCCAATAAAATACTTTTTCAACAGATTGTTTTTAACATGGGGACTACAATATGGTTTGATCGATTACCCACTGAAATTATTTTTACAATATTTGATT